AGTCTTTAATTATGCAGATAAATAATATTATAAATATTAAATTGTGATAAAAAATAATTAAGCAAATAGGTCAAGACAAAATCAAGGCCTGCTTCGATATAAAGTAGTGATGGGTTGTTACTTAACTATCTGTTATTTTATAACAATTATTTATAAATAACATAACGCAACCGTTACTACTTCTAAAAAATAACAGATACAAAATAACGACACGTAGAGATCGGCCGCTCGTGAAACGAAAAACGAAGTCGGCGCTCTGCACCACCACGAAATTCTATGCTGCTCGAAGCAATTCCAAAAAACAACTAGTATGGATGGAAAACATGTTATTTCGTCAACCATCGATACAGGCGGCGAGACAACGGACAACGGAGTGGGGAAAACGCTACGGCGAACGCTGCTGCATCGGTCGATTGTCGATGGAGGCTCCCAACGGGTTGGAGAAGCAGTCATTCGCAGTCATTTTAGATATGTTGTTTTTCAACCTGTTACGAGCATAACAGGGCGGCGGTCGAGATAATCGGAGTGGGAAAGGAACGCTGCTGCATCGGTCGATTGTCGATGGAGGTTTGAGACAGGTTGGGGAATAAAGCTTGTTTCATATAGACGCGAATCGCGAATTGCGAAAAGCGATTCGCCAAAAAATATTCGCAAAATTTGGACCTATTTCATACAGTCTCGAATTTTTAGGGACATTTCATTTTTGCTCCACTGAAAGTTACCAAAAAAAAATCATATCCTGAGGTAACTTAATTTGTTTTATACATATTTATTCGTGTTTACGATCTTTATTTTATATTTTATAGCATACAATATGAGTTTAAATTTGTTTAATAATTATGAATATCGATTACGATTGTGGGATTGGAATAGAATAAGGTGTAAAATTGCCATTTACTTATTGTTAAAACGTAGAAGAGAACGGGTTTATAGCACAGGTTTATAGGTCATTTATGGGTCATTTGGGACATGTGAAATATTCAAATTTCGTAAGCAACAAGGTGCTTATCGCAATTTAATTCAAGAAATAAGGACAGAAGATGAGAAAAAATTTAGGAATTTCCACAGATTGTCTGTACAGGAGTTTGATAACTTGGTTGAAGTTGAAAAATTGTCACGATTGTCACCATATATACATCAAAAACATATGATGCAGGAGAACCCCTTTGAACTGGAGAAATGCTTTCAGTTACTTTGCGGCAGCGTCCTCAAAATAATCGATAACTGGATCACAACACCATTCTGCGCAAACGCGTACCTTAAAATCGCGCGAATATTAGCAAAAAGTTGAAAACACTTTAACTTTCCCGCCCCCCAAATTTTAAATCTTGCGAATCGCCAAAATCTTAAAATTTCTGACAGCACCGCCATGATCAGTAAAATTGGACCAATGAGAGCAGTTTCGCAAAATCGCAATTCGCGATTCGCGTCTATATGAAACAAGCTTAACGCAATCAGTTGTTTTAGAAACATTCTGTTTCAACCTGTTACGAGCATAACGGACGGAGGTCGAGATATTATGGCGCTGTATGTTTCAGTACTTACTTATTAAGTTTCAATATTTAGGTATTTATTTATTCTGAAAAATTTTCAGAATAATATTTTAAGATTTTTTAAAAATGTATACAGGGTGTTTTGAAAAATCTGGTGATTGATTAATCACGATCCTGCTTAAAGCCCTTGACGTAAAAAGCTGATTTTTGGAAAACGGATTGACTTTAGGGTGTAGAGGTTCAATAAGAAGGGATTTTTCGAAACTCGAATTCTAAGGGGATGAAACTACCCTCAAATATTAGAATATTTTTTATTTAAAAACCGGTGAGTTTTTCGGAAAAACTCTTAAAACACATATATTTTATTATGTTGTTTTACATATATTCAGATTTCTAAAAAATATATACAGGGTGTTTCATAAAATATGACCATTGAGTAATCACTATTCTGCTTAAACTGCTTGACGTTTAAAGCTGATTTTTGGCAAACGGATTGACTGTGGGGTTGAGGTTCGATAAGGAGGGGTTTCTCGAATCTCAAATTCCAACAAGGTGAAAACGCCCCTCAAATATTAAAATATTTGTTATTTAAAAAACGGTTAGTCTTTCGGGAAAACGCCTGGACACGCATAATTTATTTTGTTTTTTACATATGTTGACATTTTTTCAAAAATCATACAGGGTGTTCCAAAAAGCTGAGTAATTGATTAACCACGATTCTGTTTAAACTGCTCGACGTTTAAAGCTTATTTTTGGCACATATGAGAAAATTTTATCCAGTCTGTATTTTAATGGAAATTCTTGTTTTGCTTTATCATCACCATTAGAAATTATTAATTCGACACGAACGAAGTCGCGGGTACACGCTAGTTTAAGTGTACTTCTAATTCGAACTCTAGTGTGTAGTTGGTTTACTTATGAAGAATATACTACACATTTTCTTATATTGCTATTTTTTGACCGCAAATGGTAAAATCATAACTAAGAGCTTCTCGCCCGTCGAGTAAGATGCACCCTGTACACTGCTACTCAATTCAGGATCTACGCGGATCGAGGGGCAGGGCGTAGGTAGTCGGAATGTATAGGTATAGACGGGTGGCGGAATTTTGGCTTTTTATATATCGCAATTTGTAAACAGCGCTTATTTGTAAACAACCACCGTTTTTAGAGAGGTATTTTAGATAACAATCGATATTTAGAAATGTTTTGACACCCTGGAAATATTACCACCGAGCACGTCATTGTTGCAACTTGCAACTGCGTTAATACGCCTGGCGGTGACCGCTTCATACTTTCAGATATTTAGCAGTAAAATAAAGAAACCTGTTATTTTTAAGCTGTTATTTTAAGCTGTTTTTTATAAATAACTATAACAGTTTCAACTGTTATATAAAAATAACAGTTTTGCCCATCACTATTGATTAATCACGATCCTGCTTAAAGCCCTTGACGTAAAAAGTTGATTTTTGGAAAACGGATTGACTTTAGTGTGTAGAGGTTCGATAAGAAGGGATTTTTCGAAACTCGAATTCTAAAGGGGTGAAACTACTCTCAAATATTAGAATATTTTTTATTTAAAAACCGGTGAGTTTTTCGGAAAAACTCTTAAAACACGTATATTTTATTATGTTGTTTTACATATTTTAAGATTTTTTAAAAATATATACAGGGTGTTTCATAATATATGACCATTGAGTAATCATTATTCTGCTTAAACTGCTTGACGTTTAAAGCTGATTTTTTGCAAACGGATTGACTGTGAGGTTTAGGTTCGATAAGGAGGGGTTTCTCGAATCTCAAATTCCAACAGGGTGAAAACGCCCCTCAAATATTACAATATTTGTTATTTAAAAAACGGTTAGTCTTTCGGGAAAACGCCTGGACACGCATAATTTATTTTGTTTTTTTTACATACTTTGAATTTTTTAAAAAATCATACAGGGGGTGTTCCAAAAAGTGAGTAATTGATTAACCACGATTCTGCTTAAACTGCTCGACGTTAGAAAGCTTATTTTTGGCAAATGTGAGAAAATTTTATCCAGTTTGTATGTTAATGGAATTCTTGCTTTGCTTTATCATCACCATTAGAAATTATTAATTCGACGCGAACGAAGTCGCGGGTACACGCTAGTTTAAGTGTAAAATTAATTCGAACTCGAGTGTGTAGTTGGTTTACTTATGAAGAATATACTACATATTTTCTTATATTGCTATTTTTTGACCGCAAATGGTAAAAGCATAACTAAAGGCTGATTCATGGTACACCGTGACGGGCCGGGGCCGTGCGACGGTGAAGGCACGGCCAAATATTGTCAAATGTTATTTATACGTATGCATTCATGCTAAGCCGGGCACGGGCCGAGCTTCGCCGAAAGGCGTCCGTGCCCCGTCCGTGCCCGGCTCGGGTACGGCCCGGTGTACCATGAATCAGCCTTAAGAGCTTCCCGCCCGTCGAGTGAGATGCACCCTGTACACTGCTACGCAATTCAGGATCTACCGGGATCGAGGGGCAGGGCGTAGGTAGATCGGAATGTATAGGTATAGACGAGTGGCGGAATTTTGGCTTTTTTTATACAGCGCTTATTTGTAAACAACCACCGTTTTTAGAGAGGTATTTTAGATAACAATCGATATTTAGAAATGTTTTGACACCCTGGAAATACTACCACCGAGCACGTCATTGTTGCAACTTGCAACTGCGTTAATACGCCTGGCGGTGACCGCCTCATAATCTTTCAGATATTTAGCAGTAAAATAAAGAAACCTGTTATTTTTAAGCTGTTATTTCAAGCTGTTTTTTTATAAATAACTATAACAGTTTCAACTGTTATCTAAAAATAACAGTTTTGCCCATCACTAATATAAAGATAAAAAACCTAATATTTCTCTCATTCCTAGAAATAGATATCCATAACTTTATACCGTTGGAAAGGTTTAAACGCCAGCATTTTTTTAAGTTGTAGCCAACTAAAATTTCCATTTAAAAAATTATATTTTTTATTATTTCTGACAAAAAGAGCAAGCGTGGAAAAAAACTGACTACGCCACTGGATTGTGCTTAAAAAAGTGCCTTAAGAACGTTTTTACAGAATTGTATTATTCCGCGAAATACAAAAGTTATAGGCAATTTTCCAAATGGTAAAAAATTCAAAAAGACCCCGTATCTCAGTTGGCAGTGAAAATATCAACAAGCGGTTTACGCCATTAAACGTGTCTCAGAAATCGAGCCCATGACATTTATGTCGGTTTTGCTCTATCTAGTCAGGAAATAAGGTTTCTCTGTTAAAACAGACCAATTTCGACCACCCTGTACATATGTTATATTATTTAACATAATTTTTTATATTATATATTGCACATCCTGAAGAAAAGTATAGGTATTTAACACAAGAATTTTTCAATTTTCATTTTTTCACTGAAATAATAAAAATGTAGTATATTATCTTCTAGGAAGACTAAGGGTGATATATGTTTCCTATATTAAGTAGAGTAAATTTTATACATTACCTGCAATACCCTGATCTGCAGCAATTCTAACTTCAGTACTGCAATCAGCTGGACTCATTCCATCGAAAACTTTAGCTACCAAGTGCATATGATCTGGATCTAGAAGAAACAATGAACACCTCTCTGCATTTGTTAATCTTCTTGCTTCTGTCATTATTTCTTTTAACAAATCACTTAAGTCCCCTAAGAAAATAAAACATCACCTAATATACTGTGCCTTGTACATAGTAATACCTATTTATAAAAATATATAGACTCCATTCAATCTATAGCTTACCAAGATGGGAAAATAACTTTCTAGCAACCAGCAATAAATTTTGACATTCGGCTTTTAAACGACGCTCCTCTTCACATTGTCTTGTATTGAGAAGTGTCGTCAAACAATATTTAAATGTTTCACAAACTAGTTTTGATATGTATGCACTGTCTTTTAGAGTATTTACTATGCAAACTAAATATACTGGAAAATCAGTTTCATTTCCTAAAATTATAAAGTATTAAGTATTGATCATATAAATTGAAACAATTATAATAAATGTAATAGTAGGTACTCTAATTTTACCTTTATGCTCCTGCGCTATTATAGGCACTATAACTACTTCACCAGAGCCATCAGGTACCACATCTTTAATAAGTTGTTGAATTTTAGGATCTAATGATATAGACTTCTCATTATCTGGTTTAATTTCTAATATATTATTTATAGCACTTTCTGATAATATACCACGTATATTTTCTTCTAATTTTCTTTCTTGAATTACTTGTACTACACCTTCTTCAGATATACTATGTATATTTATTATAAATACAAAACTGCACTCGCATTCATTTTTTAGCTAAGGATATTTTTTACAATTCAATTTAAAACAGAGTATAAACATTGTTTTACTTACATATCTATTTATTTTAATTTCAAGTCTTCTTGTAGACTTATTTGTAAGGTCTGCTAAGAGTTGTAATATTTTACTTGGATTAGAAACCTCTATTTTTGCAAGGGGTTCCTCAAGAATATCATCGTGCTTATCTTCATTTTCTTTCAAAATTTTCTTACAATATGGAGGAACAAGAAAAAATTCTGTATTTTCTGGTGTGCACATAGTTATAGATAGATATTTGGGAAATAGTCACAAAAAATTTTGATAATCCGATTAACTTACTTAAAGATTAGATAAAATAAATTGATAGTTTAATATGAACAGTGTCATGGTGATGTCACATAATCATTAACCAAATGGCCAAGTTTACTTAACATGTCCCGTTTTATTATTGCATTAAATTAATTAAATTCATAAGCACGATATTTATATACCCTCTTAAACCAATTGGATTTGGCCAAAAGTCCTCTAATAAAATACCTATACTTCATATCCGGTGTATGTTGCATTTAGGTGTCATCAAAAATAGACAATAAAGAAGTAATGAATTAGATGATTAAATGCAAAATAAATATATGTAGGTACTCCTTCGGTAAGAGATTGTTATTTTTAGGTGATTAAAAACATAATTGTTTTTTGTTTTTGTATTCCATTTGTATTCGTTGTTGAATGACATTTGTGTCATGTCATAATGTCATAATCGTCAATTTTAGTGATTGATAGATGGGGATAGAGGGGTTGATTATAGGTTGATTCCTTGTTGATTCTGATGAGAAATAATTACGATGGCATTAAAAAAAAAGGTAAAGGTGTGGATCCGGTGGCTGACCTTGAAGCCTATATTTGCTGCATTTGATCATCGATACTACACAAGCGCACATCGTCGATGTTGCCAAATTGCAGTTTATTTTCGAATTATTTGCAGTTGAAAATTTTTTTTGGAGTGTTAATCAATAATAATAGAAGTTCTATAATTAATTTTATAATTTCAGATTTATCTTGATATCCAAAATTAAGGTAAGAAGGATAATGAAGATTGTGAAATGAAAGTATTATGAATATATAAAATTGTAATAATAAATAACATTTATTTATATATTTACATTAGAATTAAAAATTATCATGTACGGATTTTTTCTTAATGGTTTTAAACTTATTAGAATTATTTTATTTCTTTCAAGTTATTTAATTTCTAGTTATTTACAGGCAACAATAGTTTTGATTATATGTATTGATGTTTTGAAATACTACCAGAGATACTACCATGACAAGTCTTATAGAACAATACACATCAATGGGAGATAGAGGTAACATCTTACTTATAATGTTACTAATATAATATACTTTGATTATAATGTTTGTATCACAATTTCTTAAAAATATCAAGTTAGTGGATTAATAGCAATTTTAGACATATATTTTATCGAAGAGTGTGTTGATAAGACTAAAATAAGCTTTATGTTTTGTCTTTTTCTCTTTAGAAGGGAGACGGTTTGTGTCGTAGAATACATTACAGTATTTAATATCGTATACTTTGATATTCTTTTCTTAATTTACTGTAATTTCTTGTTTCCTATAATGCCAAATCTTGACAATATGGTGAAGGTTGAGTTTTGATCTTATTAGTTTTATACCTGTGTTTATACAAGACCAAATTAAGATTAGTTTGTAATTAGTTTGTGATTTATATTAAGATCTTCCTTATAATATTTGTTATGTCTTAATCTTAATACTATATTATGCTCTGTCTGGAAAATAAATGTTAAAATATCTTAATTTTGCATATCCTATTCCATCCTTCCATTAGGAAAAATATGGTTTATAAATCATATTATGCTAAGAAAATCACATAAATTAGGTGTAAGAATAGAGAAATCTTAAGGTAGCAGAAAAATTAATGCAATATATAAGCAGAATTAAACAAGGTAAGTGTAAATGTTGCTGAAGCTGATTCTACAATTTTAATTACGGAGACTAAAAGGTCTTTTAAGGCCTCCGTAGTTTTGATGGAATGTTAAAAAAACCTATTATGAACATGACATGGAGCTACAGCATTTAAAAATTTAAAAAAAAGAAAAAACTTTTTCCAAACCATACCCTGAATTTTTAATAAAGCACTTTTTAAACGTAGCATAATAATCTAGAGCAATTAGATTAATTATAGGAATCTAGAATTTTATTTCTATTTAATTTTATTGACTATGAAAATACATAATAAGCGTTCATGTTTCACGTGTTGTGCGAAATATTAAAATAATAATATAAATGATATACCGCGCGTACTATGATGAAGATCGCTGCCATTTTATATGGAAATGTCCTCAATGGTCATTTCCCAGCCAACTAGACGCCGTTTTTTCGATCATACTGTATATATTGACAAAAAAACACTGAAAAGCACATATTTGTTTTCTACTGAAAATAATTCCAAAATAACTTGCAATCTGGCAACATCGAAGATGTGCGCATGCGTAGTGTCTGTGACTATATGCAGCAAAAACTCGTTTCAAGGTCAGCCACCGGATCCACACCATTACCTAGAGTTTTTATGTGATTTTAATAAAAATCGTTTGTGTAAAAAACTTTGTAAAAAACTGTTTCTTTACAAAATACACTTTTTTACTTTTAAAAATAATTTCAACTCTGTATCTGTCAACGAAAGAGTTTGGAATTGAAGGTTGGCTAAACTGGATCTTCTTCCGTTTGGTTCCGTTTTGTTTGTGTTGTCAGTTGTCAGTTGTCATTTTGTCGCTTGGCGGATCGCAGATTTGCCGCCATTCGCCATTGCCGCTTCCATTTCTCCATTTTTATAAGCTCCCGTGAACTTTTGGTAAGTTTAATTTAAATTTATTTATTGAATCATATTCTGTTTGCAAATTGTTTTTGGTTAATATTGGTATATAGAGCATTCACTTTGTTGTATATGTAGTATTTTTGTTTTAGTTATTGTTTATGCTTATATTTTTTTGTCATTTTATACTCTGTAAATAGGTGTTTGTAATATTTATGATTTTTTAGTGAGTTATAAAATGGCCGAACCTGAAGATCTTCTCGACTATGAAGATGAAGAACCAACCGAACAAACGGCAACCGAAACCACAGCCGAAACAAAAAAAGGTGTAAAAGGTTCTTACGCCTCAATTCACAGTTCAGGATTTAGAGATTTTTTGTTAAAACCAGAAATTTTGAGAGCTATTGTAGATTGTGGTTTTGAGCATCCATCTGAAGGTAAGAGCCTTAGTTCTTAAGTTAAAGTCAAAACTCAATGATTTTGTATGCACGTTGTGCATAATTTTGCAATTTTGTTTACTTCTTTTACTTTAAGGTATGTAGAAGAAGCGATATCCAAGAGTAAATTTACTAACTTTTAACTACAAATTGTTTTATTTTGGCTTATAATGTGGTATGCAATTTGATTAAAGGGTATTGTTGGTAAAATTTCAATCAAAATTATTTGTTACAAGATAATTTATGTTGACTTAAATATATAAAATATAGACATTTATGAAGACAATAATTTTATCTGAACCATCTTCATCAAAAACGTTTCTTACAGTAAAAGAAGTAAAACTAATGGAGAGTTTTGGCATAACATAATTTTAACGTTCCGTTACTTATTAACGCTAATTAAAACGTAACGGTAAAAGTTAATATATTATGTAATGTAGTTTAGGCTGTATTTCATTATAAAACTACAGAAGTAATAAACAGAATCCAATCTCTTCCCCGTTCTTGCTTGTTCCATATAACATCAGTTTCAACCATCGGTGACCTATCTAATGCAGAAACTAAATTGCCATGAGCTAGATATACTGTGAATTAATAAAATTATTGTGGAAAGCGGGAAGAATGAAATGCAATGTAGTTTTCAATTCTAGAGCACAATTTATTATCGATATACTCTTCAGTTACAAATTAAAGTACCAGCAATCCATAGTTTATTACTTGGTGACCAAACAGTTAATATATTTTCTTATCTACCGGATCTTGTTATATAAACAGTCAGTGGTATAAATTAATTGGGTCTAACATAAAGTTAAATATTTTTTATAGACTTGACAAAAAAGTTCTATAATAATATTTAATGAATGATCAAAATACAGAGTAAAACAAATTAGAAATGTGAAATAAAACAAAAATTATTAATTTATAGATCTCTGTCCCCCTGGATTTCCTATTTGAAATGTGGTGTGCCACAGGGCACTGTGCTTTCACCCTTATTATTTATCATTTATATAAATGAAATCTTGTCTGTCCTGAAAGAAGTAGATGTGCTTTGTTTCGCTGATGATACAGGCATTGTGGTTAATGATGAATGATAACTGGGAAATAACAGAATGTAAAGCGGAATTAGCAATGCAAAAAATAAAACAGTGGCTCGGCGGTAGTTTGCTTGCTTTAAATATAGATAAAACAAAATTTATTGCCTTCTCACTCTCAAATCAACATCTACCCAGTTTTCAAAAAATACAAATTCATGAGTCCCAATGTGATATAATTAATATGAATTGTAATTGCGAAAAAAAAATTGAAAGAAAATGCAGTCTTAAATAACTTGGCATTATTATAGATGAAACCTTATCATGGAAAGAGCACATACAAACTGTGACAGACAAAATCAGGAAATTAATTTTTAAATTTTATGAATTAAGTTTTAGTTCTAAGATTATGATTAATAGTGTTATATATACCTATTTATAGTTAGTAATTTATATAACATTGTAAAAATTTGTTGATTTTTTCTACTGCATAAATTTATTAATTTATTTTAAGGTATAAAATCATTTTATTAAAAAAATTAAAATATGTTCATTCATTTTTAATGTAACTTTTAAAAGGCTTATTTAAACATTTTTTTACGGCGGTCTATAGACATGTCGCTGCTTCACTGATGAATTTCAGGGGAACAAGCGAGTCAAGGTCTCTGCGGGTTCTCCTTACCAACGATGAGAGATAGGCTTCTGGTTATTACTTCTTCTGTGATAAAACCATGTTGGTAAACTACAGTACGGATGCGTTCCTCTATTATATTCAGGGTTCGGAAGTAGTTAATTAAGACGTAATTTACCTGATTAACTACGTGTAGTTTTTCTTCAAAAACTATGTCTTTTCCCGTTCATTAAATACATGAAAACTACGTTAATAAACTATGTAATGATATTATGAATAATTTTTCTTTGTATGAGGTGTAATAGAGATAATATGATGCAAATATTATATTTAAAGCCATATTTCTCCTGTTTTCTTAAATACATTATGTGTTTTTAAAGCTTCAACTTATTATAACCTCACCTCGAACCTTTGACATTAATTTGAAAGTTACATACATAGGTTATATAAACTACGCCCTCTACATAAACTACATTAACTACTTGTAATGTAGTTTATGTAGTTTTTAAAAGTGACATGTAGTTTTCCGAACCCTGATTATATTGGTAAATACTCTAAGGCAATTAATGTGCCTTGTAGAACAAAATCCCCTAAAACTGAATTTTTGTAGTAAGTCATTGTGGTCCACGATTAATATACTAATAAAGGTACAATTTTTTACTTTTTGCTGAATATCTCTGGCACAGTCAATTTATTAAAATACCTGTGGGTAGTTATCAAAATTATTGAATGTATTCACTTATAAAATTATTAATATCTGATACCACAATCATATTGATACCACAAATTGTCGTTATGAACCGCAGGTTACAATTAAAAATAAACCATAATATGCGAAAATGTCAAAAATTGACATATGTTACATCATTCTATTCAGAGTGTCATTAGTCACTATTTTCTATCGAATAAAGTAAAAAAATTCCGAGTGTCATTTAAAACTCAAAAGTTGTAGTAATTTCCGGTGAAACGGGAAGTGACCAAAAACAATTGAATACGTCAATCAATCCTAATTTATGTCATAGACTAACATACCAAGTATCGTTTTTTTATCGGTAAAAGCAAAAAAGTTAAGTTACAGTGGGTGAGCCACTTTTGAGACGCACCTGGTATACCCTACTGGGTTTTAGTACATGATATTGACTGTATATTACTACTGGGTATATACCAGTTATATACCCAAATTTCTTTATTATACCCATAGACTTAAAATAAAATATAGACTGAGCATCTCATTCATAAATAGCTGGAACATGCGGTCAGACAATGTCTTGTTATTGTTGTGTTATTGTTTTAGGTTATAACGAGTGCGACACGAGCGACAGATCGGTTTTCTCTGTCGTAACGGTCGTTCCCTGACGACTCTGCCGAGAAACACAACACTGTCTTTCGTTTCTCAAGTACACCTGAACTCTCCGTATCATAGCCGGGTAATTTTTTTATTTTAATGAAGCTATAATTAAATTAAAAATATATCGTATTTAAACTTTTTTATATTTTATTAAGATTTAGGACAGGTTTTTTAAATAAAAGTTTAGAAAAACGTCTTAGAATCCAAAAGGATAAAAATAATAAAATACACGTTATAGAAGAAATTTTATAATCGAAATTACATAATTTTTGAAATTAATAATAAATTATTAATTTTAGTCAAACATTACAACCCCTAATATTAATCAAAACAGGATCTATTCCACAGATATAATAGAATCGGCGACAAGGAGAGAAAAAAAAAATATGATTGTTGTAATTTTTTTCTGGTTAGGTGATGTCTTATTATGTAAATTAGAGAAAACATAAATCTGTTCCATTAAAGCAAAAAGGTGTGATAGGAAGTGGATAAAATGAAAACTACATTTATTTAACTCGGTACTGTCTTTATTATACCGGGTGCGTTTCAAAAGTGGCTCATCCCCATAATTTTTTATATTTTCAAATAAAAACAAGATTTAGTATGTTAGTATATGACATTAACTAGGATTGATTGACGCATTCAATTGTTTTTGGTCACTTCCTCTTTCACCGGAAATGACTATAACTTTTAATTTTTAAACGCCACCCTCGGTATATTTCTACTTTATTCGATAGAAAATGACACTCTGAATAGAATGACATATCATATGCCAACTTTTGACATTTTTGCATATGGTTTAATTGTAATTGTAACACGCGGTTCATAACGACAATTTGACTCGAAATACCAAGTGTGCGGTATCAATATATTCATAAAAAAGCTTTTTCCAAATATGCTAATGAGTCACCCTTGTTCCATTTGAAAAAATTGACATATGTATGATTAAAAATACGATTTGTACATCTTTTAACCGGCCTAGACAAGACACGAAACCCATTAGACGATCAAAACTATTTTTCCAAGGCTCCTTGATTAAAACTTAGTGTTTTTAACAACACCATGGCACCTTGGATTGAAATTTAAAATACGATTTGTTTTTAAGCGACAATGTGAAAAGTTGACATATGACATGTCATTCTATTCAGAGTGTCATTTTTTATCGAATAAAGCAGCAATATACCGAGGGTGCCTTTAAAAATCAAAAGATGTAATCATTTCGGTGAAACAGGAAGAGACCAAAAACAATTGAATACGTCAATAAATCCTAATTTATGTCATATACCTACTAACATACAAATCTGTTTTTTTATCTGAAAAAATAAAAAAGTTATAGGGGGTGAGCTACTTTTGAGACTACCCGGTATATTAAAAAATATTGTTTCATAATGTAATATCATTTTAAAATTCTTGAATGTTATTTTAGATTCTGAAGATAATTTTAGAATAAACCGGAATATATTTTTAATAAAAACATTATTAATAGGGTTATAATTATGATCATTATTAACAGGGTTATAATTATGATTTTGTTACAATGTAAGTAAGTAAATAATGTAATGTAAGAGAAAACATTCAGATTTTACATTTTACTAAAATATTATCTAAATAAGCGCCTTTCTACAACAACGCCACTGACTCCTAATGGGTAAATTGAGAGTTGCCTTCCGGTCGAAAGTCGTTTCAAGGCTTAAATGGATTATTTAAGTCAAATTTCTTGCAAATTTGGCACTGGCGAACCATATTTTATAGTTCTTGAACAGAAAAAGTCAATAAAATAAACAGTTAAGAACTACAAGCTACGAAAATGCATTAATACAGCCGGGGACATAGCGGCAACAAAGCTTTACCGCACACGTGCGACGCGTACTACAAGGTAATAAATGAATGAATAGGCTCCCTCGCCTCTAATCGGTGTTGTCATATTGTAAAGAACTTATCCTTTTTAAACAGTATCCGACTTATAATTTAGTAGTATAAGGACTATTTAATACATCTATGGAATATTAAAACCTACTTTATTAAAATGTAGTATTAATATCTCAATATATGTGTAATAACAAGAAAAAAAATATTGATATTATTAAAGACGTGACAACATAGGCTGGATGAGGAAGGCTCGGTCGACTGTACCCAGAAGTAAACATGTGTACAAAAAAAATTGTTTGACCGCGTTGAGATGTAAATAGTGTAGTCTATATTTTATTTTAAGTCTATGATTATACCTATTGGGTCATCATCATACCCACCGCCCATCGCTGTTAAAATGTAAAGGCGCATTCTCACGACTCGTCTACTTGGCAAGTATTTTTTATTGGCCTAGTTCCTATAATAAATATCTTAAAAATTCTGGTTAGGACCCGACGCATCATGTATACCCTGTATACCAATTACAAATGTTTGTCAAGTACACGAGTCGTGAGAATGCGCCATAAGACATTTAGAGAGCTTTAAGCCCCCACTACACGCGTCACTGATTTAATCAATCTTGCTTCTACAGTATGTCCCCGGATTGTCTTTACAAGACGAAAAACTTTTTTATTATTGACGTTTTGAGAAAGATTGCTTGCTCTAAAATGGTTAATCCCGTTTATACGTTTCCAAATTTCCATACCGTTTTAGAGAAAATTAAAAAAAACATTAAGGCTGTATTCCGTTGCAAAACCAGGCGAACCCGACCGGTAAAGAGCGGTTCCTGAAAAACATCGGTTTGATACGGAACGATTTGGTAAAAGGTACTGGAAACGTCAAATGTTGACGTTTTCTAAATTTCAATGCCTCTTTTATAAAATTTATCTTTTATGCATTTTTAATGTACCTATTCCCTGTTTTTACGTTTGCTTCTTCTTTTCAATGGTGTTTGATACTGAAAAGTACTTTATTAATAAACTGTTAAACTCGTTAGACAATTCAAGTGAAGTTTTGCAGGTCCAGTATTAAAACAGATCAATAATAAATAAACAAATCTAATCAATGACCTCTAAATAAAGTAGACCCGGCATTTCATTCATAAAAAGAAAAAGATCAGAATCAGACATTCGTTTCTTGTTGTATGCGAGTGGGAACAAGACGGGCTGATCGCAGTCATGAAGGATTCCCGAGAGAATGGCAACGCTGTTCAGAGATCTTGAGAATGTGTGTCAGTGGCGTAGTTACTTTGATTGTAATATATAATTATTTAATATTATATTCTCGTAAATATGATTTTTGGATACGATATATTGTTGTGCTAGATGGCTCTTCAAATTTTGAAAATGACTACTTCTATAGTCCAATCACTTCTATACGAAAATAACTAATTGAAATTATGATATGCACATTTCCATAGTAATGTCTGTAAATTGCTCCAGTAGTAATATAATCCAGCAAGCGTTCAATGAATACGAGCCGAAGACGACTTTTATAAAACATTTATATGAATTAATGGTATTATTTTGATTGAAGCAACAGTGAAAAATGAGAATATTTTAAAACTGTCGTGACTAATTGCAATTTAATATTAGGTATAAAAATATTACTATTTATAACAACAATAATAAAGATCTTTGCTAAACTGAAGAAAATTTCTAAAATATTTACATATTTCTGGATCAGTTTCTTCGCCGATAATCGGGACCTTGTACTGAATAAATAATTAACTATTCAATAAAACATATTAAACAAAGACGCATTCATCTTTTAAACTATATATTTTTTTAGTCTTAATAAAAAAAACAAAAAATACATTCCTCTATTACAAAAATTATACTATCAAAAAAAAACGGCGTCAAAAATGACAATCGGTGATAATTTTTCCAAGGTGATATGTCATGACCCCTACTCTTGTTTATTTTTTAATGACACTTACTGGCAGTAGTACGCCTTAAGGTTGTATTTGATTTTTAGATGGTGTAATATAAATTCGAAAATTTTTTTGGCAAGTTCGCACCATTGTCTTATTGTTTCTGAATAAAATCACTAAAAATAATACCACAAAACACTAAAATATCTGGAAATCACCTCATAAAACATTTCGAAAAACCACAACACATTGGCAACGCCGTAAAGCAATTTATGAACGAATTCGAACTGGATGTTTTGTTGGCTGCCTGAATTTAGGAGTAAAGATAGTAAAATGCGTACGTTTTCAGTATCAGCTGGCGTTGCGACGTTGTCGATTGTTTTATGTTAAATTTCTTAAAATCTAAAAATTATAATTACAGAAGATTTACATAACGGCTAATGCTGATTGGGAGTAGTTCGTGATACTAAGCTACCTTTAATTATTATCGGTTTAAAGTATTATTCTACGACCTAATCTATATTTGGAATTCCTGGTTTACAATGTGGGTTAGCTATCCCCGTACGTATACGTAGGTTAGATTTCCTTTTAAATGCGGTCGAAGTGGAAATTTGGCATACATGCAATTTTCTAAGGCAATGATGGATTTCGCCAAAATGTAAGTCGCCGGATCTAATTTATTTCGATGTCATTGAATCTAATCAATATTTATATTTTTATAGCTTACAAAACATTCAAGATTACTTGTTGTGTTGTTTTTCATGTTTTCGTTAAATGTTCCTGACTTTAAGAAACAATGGCAGCATGACAAGTTTAAATGGTCCTAAAAAGTCATTCTATTTAGTTAATGAAATTTATTTACCTTTACTGCCTACCTCCATTGCTTTTGGATGTAAATACAAAATACTATTACAAATTTTAGAAATTAAATGAGAATTTCACTCGAACTTCCAATATTTGCTTGATTTCTGTCACATAAATGACATTGATTGACAAACAAAACGAGACTTGTCGCGCTCGTTAGTTTGGTGATAGTTATAACCGAATTTTTCAGGAACCGTGTTCCGTAATAAGAAAACCTTCAGGAAACCGATAGAAACGGAACATAAAACCATAACCAAGGTAAGCAATGGAATACACCCTAAAATATGGTTGAATTTTTTTTAAGTCCTAAAAATCAAAGGTGTTTCTATGGTAATATCAATTCGATTTCATTCTTTGATAGATTAGTTTTGATTAACGTCACATTTCTTGCTGTTAAAAGTATCACATTTTCCGATAACTATTATCACCCTTTCCGTTCCATTTAACTAAATAAATGTTGTATTTCTTTAACATTTTAAAACAAAAAAAAATATTACTTTAATTAAAATTCTATGAATAACAACAATCTAAAACGGTATGGAAATTTGGAAAAGTATAAACAGGATTCACCATTTTAGAACAAGCAAAATTTTTTCCTCTTGTAAAGACAATCCGGGGCCATACTGTATACAGGGTGGTCCGAACTGTATTCCGGAAACTTCAGTAGCATATTCTGCAGACAAAAAGAAGTAAAAAACTTCTTATAAATGTATGTCCTAAAACGCTTAGGTTCGGAGATACAGGGTGTAGAAGTTTCATTTTTATTTCGATTTTTACCAAATAATTTCTAAAGTAACGTCAATATTTGGATGAAAATTGGTGTCTGATAGTTTTTTGACTTGACAAATTTGATTTTGATATTATTATGACTCCTATTTGTAGAGGGCGCCACCTACATTTGTTTTAACTGATTTGAAGAGTAATGACTTTTTGTCCGTACCTGTGTAGAACTGCTGAGTGAAAAAAGGTACATTTTCGTATTTTTTTACGTAAAAAATGTCTCTTGGTAAAAATCGTTACGAGCAACCCTTCTCGAGATATTTAGAGTTAAAATAGTCAATACATGTCATTATTGACAAAAAATAAACATGTCGAGTAGATAGTTATTTGACTAAAATAATAAATTTGGGAAATTTTTATTTTTTAAAATTAATCATAAAAAGTTCTTCGAAAAAATGATGATTGATGATGATTTGGCACAAAAACATTTCAAATTTATGATTTCCGTCTAGTAACTATTTAATCAACATGTTTAATTTGTCAATGATGACAGGTATTGATAATTTCGATTTCAAATATCTCGAGAACTATTACTCGTAGCGATTTTTATTAAGAGATCTTTTTTACATTAAAAACGTCGTAAATGTATATTTTTTTACTTAGTAGTTTTATACAGGTACGGACGAAAAGTTATTACTCTTCAAACTAGTTAAAAATATGTAGGTGGCGCCCTCTACAAGTAGGAGTCATATTAACATCAAAATCGAATTTCTCATATCAAAAAACTCCCAGACACCAAATTTCATCCAAATATTGACGTTACTTTATTTAAATTAATTTGGAAAAAATCGATATAAAAATAAAACTTCTACACCCTGTATCTCCGAAACTAAGCATTTTAGGACATACATTTATAAGAACTTTTTTACTTATTTTTATCTGCAGAATATGCTGCTGAAGTTTCCGGAATACAGTTCGGACCACCCTGTATACACCATTTTGTAGGTAATTTTATAGGCGATAATTTTGATAACTAGCAATTTTTTTCTAGTGTCGAGTGTATTGGAGATATTTAGCAAAACCTAAAAAATTGTACCTTTAGGGTAATTTTGTTTGCACGGTCGGAGGGATGGGGACTATATACCAGGTATATACACAAATTTATTTATTGTACCCATTGGGTATTTTCCCACCGTCCATTACTTTTATATGTATGTACTATGTTAAATGTTCAAACAACGAAAAGTAACGTTAGAAGAACTATATATTATTACTAGAAAATGGCTAAAAATCTAATATATTGAACTAATATGTATTATGTCTTCTGCTTTGTAAGTTAAAAAGTGATTATTATTAATTTTTTTAATTGTTTTAGTACAACATGAATGCATTCCCCAGGCTGTTCTTGGAATGGATATTCTTTGTCAAGCAAAATCTGGTATGGGAAAAACAGCTGTTTTTGTTTTGGCCACTTTGCAACAACTTGAACCGACCGAAAATGTTGTGTATGTTCTCGCGATGTGCCATACGCGTGAGCTAGCTTTTCAAATCAGCAAAGAATATGAAAGGTTTAGCAAATATATGCCCAACATCAAAGTTGGTGTATTCTTTGGAGGAATGCCCATTCAAAAAGATGAAGAAGTTTTGAAGAATAATTGTCCTCATATTGTTGTCGGAACGCCTGGACGTATTTTGGCCCTAGTAAGATCGAAAAAGCTGAATCTAAAACATTTGAAGCATTTTATTCTTGACGAATGCGATAAGATGCTCGAAGTGCTAGGTAAGGAAGCACATTAGGTGAAATGATTTAGTATGTTGATAACATTTACCTTATTTTAGATATGAGACGTGATGTTCAAGAAATCTATAGAAATACACCACATGGCAAGCAAGTTATGATGTTCAGCGCCACACTAAGTAAAGAGATTCGTCCAGTGTGCAAGAAATTTATGCAAGATGTAATTGAAAGTTATTATTCTACATCATATTCGATCAGTTCGGCTAGTTGACATGGTCTTCAATATTCATAAGTCACGATATAAATTAGCGTATTGTAGCCCAACGAGTAGGTTTTTGAAGAAATATTTGGGTCGTGCTACAGTACTTCTAAATTAACTATACATCTCTAAGCTTGACACATATCTAATTTTGAAGAACGATAGTACTGTAGCCCAACGAAGTTATAGAAGATTAATTACAATATTTTCGGCCGTGCTACAATACATCAAAATTTTGCGCTCTATATCGCTAGATTATCTATTAAAAAACGGGGCTATGTACTGTAAATCCAGCTACAAGTAAACTAGGGTGGGATGGTAAAGAAGATTAATTTTCCGATGAAGATACAGAAGATGGGTTTAGTAAAATCATACCGCGTTCTAAACTACAAAATTATGTTAAAAAAAAGTAATATTGTGTATGCTGTGAAGGTGAAACATGGTAATAGCGAAATCCTACGTTTCCTCTATGATGGGATAGAAATGATTGATGATGATATATAGGACAAGGGAATTCAGCCAAGCTGTATGTACGATTGAAGACCGCCTCGTCACTGCAGTACTTATTTACTTAAATGGAGTAGAAAAGATATTTGTAATAATTTGCTTTCTTATTAACTTTTTTACCATTCTTTGCTACTCCATTTTAAATTCTAAAGATACCATAATTATGTACATTTAAATCTTATCCAGATTTAAATTTGAATTGTTATTGGTATCTTTGGAATATTAGCAACATAAGACAGATATTAGTGAAGCCTTTCTTGAATTTCTCAAAAAAAGTTTTGGTTTAAGGACTCGTCACTTATTATTTTACACTCACCAGCAAAAAAAAACCGGCCACTAAAAACTAGTCGCAATTTGATGATTTTTTTTAAAATTGTAAATTAATTCCTTCTTAACGGATGCTACATCAGAAATTTTTATTCTGAATTTATTTTGAACACATACAGGGCACATCAATAAGACGAAGTTTTTTGCTCGAACTTTGTGACACCCTGTAGGGTGCAGCAGCTGTAGTAGCTATTGCTAAATTAAGTCACATTGTAGCCTCATCTTTTGTGAGCATTTTGTTTTTTTAATCATGACATTATTTCTGTTTGTATTGGAGATACGCTGCTTTAAAACGAACGTCTCGAAAAAATGCTTTGCAGGCAAAACCGCGACCAAACCAATTCACATGTAAACGGGCAAACTGAAGACGTGCTCGACGATGTCTTGGAAGTAGCTGGGGTCCTGTGGCAGGCCCAGGGCCGGCGGAAGGGCCGGGCGACCCGGGCGACTGCCCGGGGCGCCTAATGTGAGGGGCGCCACGCCAGCAACTAAAATATTAAAAAAAATGTTCGTGGTATTTTACTTATAACTGAAAAGCTATCAACTTTTTGTAAATAACGTTTCTTTTTATAATTCTTGTTTTTATAAAATTTCCCTAAACAAACTGTTTTGAGTCAAGAGCCAGCAAAATTGACAGTTTTAGACTGCTTTTTGCTCAAAATTGCACTTTGTCTACTACCCACACCCTTTATTTGTTAATGGGTGATCTGCCCTAAAATTATATGAGACAAATATTCATTAGCAAGAAGCTAAATAGGATCCCGATATCCTTATTATCAAAAAAAAAGCTTGTAAGTTTGCCTCATTCATTTATTAACAGTAGTGGGAAAAACGCCAATCTTTTGGTGATTTTGATTGTTCTGGATTGAATATGTAGTAATACATGGTAAATGGTATCAGAATCGTAGAAATTTCTCATTAGAGCAAGACAAATAAATGCATCTCAAATCTGAAACACTGGCTGATCCTCATTTTGAAGCCGACAGAACTGTATCTGATCATACCTATACTGATTTTGCACGAAATAATTGATTGGAAAAAGAAAAAAATTCTTAAATTTTTATAGAAAAATAATGCTATTGCTTGCAACTAAATAGTAATGTTTTCAAAGATCACTTATACTTATCATTTATATACCGGGTGCGTCTCAAAACTGGCTCACTCCTATAACTTGTTTATTTTTTCAGATGAAAAAACGAGATTTGGTATGTTAGTATACGACATAAATTAGGATTAATTGACGTATTCAATTGTTTTTGATCACTTCCTCTTTCACCGGAAATTAATAAAACTTTTGATTTTTAAATGTCAACCTCGGTATATTTCTACTTTATACGATAGAAAATGACAATCTGAATAGAATGACATATCGTATGTCAACTTTTGACATTTTCGCATATGGATTATTTGAAATTGTAACATACCGTTCATAACGACAATTTGACTCGAAATATCAAGTGTGTGGTACAAAATTATTCGTAAAAAATTCTTTGCGAGCCACTTGTTCCATTTGAAAAATTGGCATATGATTAAAAATACGATTTGGGCATTTTTTAACCGACCAGGACAAGACACGAAAAACATTAGACGATCAAATCTATTTTTCCAAGGCTCCTTGTTTAAAAATTAGTGTTTTTAACACAGCCATGGCACTCTAGATTGAAATTTAAAATACGATTTTTTGAGCAAAAATGTCGAAAGTTGACATATGATATGTCTGAGAGAAAGTTGACATATTATATGTCTACTCAGAGAGTCATTTTCTATCAAATAAACCAGAAATATACTGAAAGTGCCATTTAAAAATCAATAGTCTTTCGTTGAAACAGGAAGTGACCAAAAACAATTGAATACGTCAATCAATCCTAATTTATGTCATATACTAACATACCAAATTTCGTTTTTTATCTAAAAAAATAGACTAATAAACTTTCAAGATGCACCCGGTATAGAAAAAACAACCGCGGACTAAGATTGAACGAAGAGAAGAATTTGATTTGTACCTTTAAGTGAAATTTTATTGTTAAAGTAGCATAAATATGCTTAGTTGTTATGGTAACATGTTAACTATTTGGGGGGGGGGGCAGGTAGGGTATTTACCCGGTCTCAATGTTACCATTCCGCCGGCCCTGGGCAGGCCTCCTTGCCGACAAGCTGTTTTCTTTTAGTCTTCGTTGGATTATTCTCTCACAGACTTGAGTTTTACGCACGGCTTGTAGCAGATGTTGATTCTGAAACGCTGTAATTCTACAATTTCGTAAAGTATTCAGGGCAATAAAGCGGTCGTCAATTGCATTTGTCTTCCGTTTTCTTCCGGAACCCACTCGCCTGGTGAAATTTCCCGTTTCCATATACCGATTCCAGGCATCCTGGACTGTTGTTCGAGGTATGACCAGGGTATCGGACACATAACGTTGACTTCAGCCATCCTCAATTAAAGCCACAATACGAGCAACATCCGACACAGATAATTGCATTTTTTAATTTGACAACCGTTGTTGTCATATTGCAAATTCTCATAAATCCGTTTCGCCCTTTGAATAAGAAGACTAAGGAAGGAGCATATCAAAAACCTTAGGTACACCGCGATGGGCCTCGAATATGGCCGACTTAAATTCCGGTGTATCGGTGTCGTTCTAATTTTATTTAAAAAATGTAAAACTATGATATAGGGTAGACGTGGGGTAGACTCAATAATTTGTTGTTTTATTTTACGTTGTGAATAAATGTTGGTAGTTATTAAATTTGTTATAAAAATATATATTTCTAATAAAAAAGATAAGTTATAATAAGTATTTATTACCACAAACATCCGATACGCTACTGAAGCAGGTAAGTAAAATTAACGTATCTAAATTCTTTGACATCTAATCTTTGACAAGTAATAAATAAAAGCTAAAATGCAAGAAAAATATTTAATTTAGTTAATTTAAGTGAATTTCATAAATGATCGGTTTACTACACGTATGTATATTATATAGTCACTTACTAGCGAAAAGTTGTTCCATTATTTCATTCAATTTTTGCCGAGATCTACCGCACGCTACACAACCAACTATTTTAGAGTCTTTTTCGATAAATCGCGATAGTGTCACTGTTAATTTAAGTTCTGCCACAATTTCCATCTAGATTTACTACCTTTATACAACTATCAGTAGTAGAATAAATGATAAATAACATAAAATAAGCTCCGTAAAGACGGACTAATCCACAAAATTTCAAATTAAATTCAAATGTGTCAAATGAATCGTCAAACAGAACTGTCAAGGATCCCCACCCTAGAGTGCTTTTATGGTGCTTTTTCCGCCCACCATGCATGAATACATGGATAGCATTATGCTCCTTCCTTAGTCTTCTTATTCAAAGGTTTGGCCTATGTCGCCTTGATCATTTACACATAAAACTTTCTGCCTGGGAAGCATTTTTCCGAGACGTTCGTTTTAAAACAGCGTATCTTCAATAAAAAGAGATAACGTCGTGATTAAAAAAACAAAATGCTCACAAAAGATGAGGGTACAATGTGATTTGATTTAGCAATAGCTACTACAGCTGCTGCATTCTACAGGGTGTTACAAAGTTCGTGCAAAAAAACTTCGTCTTATTGTTGTGCCCTGTATATGCTCAAAATAAATTCGGAATAAAAAATTCTGACATAGCATCCGTTAAGAATGAATTAATTTACAATTTAAAAAAAATCATCAAAATCTAATGAGTGGTTCGCGAGAAATCCAACTTTGAAATTGGGACTAGTTTTTAGTGGCCGTTTTTTTGCCGGTGAGTTTATTTTCATTATTGTTTGATAGGCTTTACTATTATCTTTAACCATTTGTTGTATGCTTGATGATACTTTTTTTAGCCTATGGAAGTTTATGTTGATGATGAGGCTAAACTCACTTTACATGGCCTTCAACAGCATTACGTTAAGTTAAAAGAAAATGAAAAAAATAAGAAGTTATTTGAATTACTTGATGTGTTAGAATTTAACCAGGTTAGTTATTTTTGCGTGTATATATATATTTGTGATATAAATATTATAATTTGTATATGATGAAACGTGCTTTTATGATAGTAATGATATATTTACAAACTCTCTCACTGATAAAATTTTAATCATATGCATTTAAATATTTGGTCATTTTGTTACATTAATTGAGACCTCCAATTTAGGTTGTTATTTTTGTGAAGTCCGTACAAAGATGCGTCGCATTGGCTCAACTTTTAACTGAACAGAATTTTCCAGCCATCGGTATCCACAGAGCAATGGATCAGAAAGAGAGATTATCACGATACGAACAGTTTAAGGATTTTCAAAAAGTAAGAAGAGCTTTTATGTAATAATGAATTTTTTTCTTTAAAATATTTTAAACTTTTCATGATGATAAGCTTGTAGGGACATATGAAATATGTTGTGATTATTTACATAATTGGGAATTTTTTCTGAGTTGCAAATATTTTTTGCTTACTCTGATTTTGTAAAGTTAGATGGTTCTTATGTGTTCATTTTTAGAGAATTCTTGTCGCCACTAACCTTTTCGGACGAGGAATGGATATTGAAAGAGTCAATATTGTATTTAATTATGACATGCCAGAAGATTCAGACACATATTTACATAGAGTAGCCAGAGCAGGACGGTTTGGTACAAAAGGATTAGCAATAACATTTGTGTCTGAGGAAAGTGACGCTAAAATTTTAAATGAAGTTCAAGACAGATTCGATGTAAATATTACAGAACTTCCTGACGAAATAGACCTCAGTTCTTATAGTAAGTAAAGTAGATAAGTTTTAATTACACAAACTCAATAATAAAATACAAAAATAATGACATGTTTAAAACTTTATAGCATCTGATAGTATCTATAATAATGAGGAAAATGCATGTTTTTAAATAATGGTTTTAAAAAATAGTTCATATAATTACAAATTGAACAAAAAAAAATCGTTGATATCGGTTAAGAAATGCCTCTAATATAAAATAATTAAATATTGTTAATTTAAATGGCCGGGCAAACGCTCTCTACCGCGCCTTGCCGCTGTGACGTCACCCGCCGTTCTTCTGGTTGAGTGGAGCCAGACGCGTGTTTATTTTACACAGTTTGCTTTTAAATGCTGTTGAATCCGAGTCAAAATTTTAGTTATTTGTGTTAATTAATACATAATTAGTAATTAGTGATATTTATAAATAGTAATGGATGAGCGAAAACAGAAAAAAATGGTCCAAGGCCTTGAGAAGAGATGAAAAAAAAAAACGTTAAATTACCCTCTATTTTTACGATTTATTGTTTTGAAGATCATTTTGATGTAAGTTCATATATTTATGTAAATATATTGTCTTACATAGGTATATGAAATTTGAATGTACAGGGTTATTCATTATATTTTGACACCCACATACAGCCTTAACTGCAAGTTTTAGAAGAAAACATTAAATAAAAGAGTTGCATGGTTTTTCATATACTCTCTTTTAAAATTAATTCTAGTTATACAGGGTGTCTCAAAAAAGGTGGTCCAGAAAATTGTAGGTATTTTTCGCTTTACAACTGTCAATATTTCGTAAACATTTGAAGATAGGTATAGGACATTATACATGAAATATATCTAGAATATCTAGAAATTTCCGAAGAATCCAAAAATATATAGGGTGTCTCACTTAAAAAAGTAACTTAATTTTGGCGTTTGCTTATGGGACACCTTATATAATATTTTCATTACTGATAAACAATTTATTTCCTATAATTTCGTAAAAAAAACAATCTTTAAAAATAACAAGGGAAAGGGGGTGTCAATATATAAAAAAATTCTTTTTCACGCTATGCTCTGGAGTTATTTTTCCACGTACTAAACAAATATTTTTGTCTCTTTTCACTTCTACATAACCTATAGCATTATCTCCGTACGTCTCCCTACCTGATCTGAAAAATAAGTTTATAACATTAATATTTATAACTATATAAAAGTTCGTAACAGTAGGTACCTACTTATACTTAAGTATGCCTCAGTACTACAAAGAATAAATGTTACATACCTCTCTGTTTTTTTCCTCGTAATTCAGCACCAATAAATTGGGAATTTGTATTTATAAAAGCAGCCAACATAAAAGCATCGACTTTTGGCAAGTTATCTGATTGTGCTTTTACAAACCCGGAATCTGCCAATACTTAAAATTCTCAGAACACACAACACATACAAATAATAACTGCACAAAAAAGCATAAAAGCTCCTCCAATCAACGCTAAAAGCAACAAAAATGTCTTAGTACGCCACCTAAATACGTACATAAACGGAACACGTCTGGCTGCTGCTGGCCATCGCGCGTCGACGAGAACGGCGGGTGACGTCAGACCAATAGAATATCGTTTCAATTCGCGAGGCGTCGTTTGCGTTATCCATAGTATTTTAATGGCCCATTTTATAAAATTGTGGTACTGCTTTCAAGAAAAGTTTTTTTTTGCATTTACACATATTTATTCTAATAAATTGAACAGTTTCTGGCGAAAAATAAAATATATGCATCTTCCTCATTTTATTGTAGTATTTGGCATTTGGTTGTTATACCCTTAATTTATTGGAAAAGCTCAGTACGAATGTACATTTTATAACTAAAAATTGAGAACTATGAAATTATCTTCATAGATAAACTATTTTAATTAAATAATTTTTAGTTCTGTATATTTTTCTAACAAGTGACAATTTTGACTTTGATGTTTATTTTTTTAACATGTTAGTTATTTTTGCTAGACAGGTATTTTTGCAAGACCACCTCAAATGAAGCCCTCATTTCTCTCTTATTCATCGAATTGAGGTTCATATATTTTAAAGTAAATGGTTGACAATTTTTTTTGTAATAATAATTTTCTATATAAAATAATATTTTAAAAAATGGTTACAGATAGCTTAGATATTGTTACGGATTCCATTCTTATATTGAAACATAATAATACTATTAATAAGAAAAAGTATGATATATCTAACGGCGGTGTAGAGGCGTTTTTTACGTGTTAAAATTAAATTTGATTTAATTTTTTTAAGTGATCCTATTGATTTATGTTGATACCGGGTGCCTCTCAAAAGTGGTTTACCCCATAACTTTTTTATTTTTTCAAAAAAAAATGTATGTGACAAATTAGGGTTGATTGACGTGTTCAATTCTTTTTGGTCACTTCCTGTTTCACCGGAAATGACTATAACTTTTGATTTTTAAATGGTACCCTCGGTATTTTTTTACTTTATTCGATAAAAAATGACTCTCTGAATATAATCAAAATCAAAATCAAGTTTATTGGTGACAATAATAAATATACACACACGTCAATAATATAAAAATACAAAATTTAGACAATTATTACACATTTGTCACTTAAACATAGATACATTGATAGTAAAAGGTAAACCTATATAGAAAATAAAAACTTATAAATTAAACATTGAAATCACTCAGACATACAGTATCAGATAAAAACAATTTAAAATCATAAAAGGCCTTTCCCACTAGGTAATTTTTATCACTGTTTTGAATACGTTAGCCGGTGGAGTTCTAACCTGAAGTGGTAGCTTGTTATAGAAGGCTGGCGCATAGTTCAGTGTCGCATTAAAAGATCTATTCAGTCTAAGAAAATCTGCACGCAAATCATTCCGAGCCCTCGTGTCATGACAGTACCACTTGCTTAGCCACAACAAATTTTTCACTGGCATGAGCGTATATAAGAGAGTCAAAGATATACTGCGAAGGTCAGGTTAGTATCTTTAGACTCTGAAAGTAGGGTTTCGCTTCGTCACGATAACCGGCACGGGCAACAATTCTAATAGCTCGTCTTTGGAGCGCAAAAACTCTGGATGCATGAGCCGAGTGCCCCCAAACTAGTAGACCATATGCACATACTGAATGTATGAGTGCATGGTAAGCCATCATACAGACCTCCTTCTCCACCAATTTTGCCAGATTTCGCAAAACAAAAGTTCCTGACGTCAATTTCCTAGCTATGAGGTTTACGTGATCATCAAAGCACAGTTTTGAATCTAAAGTGACCCCCAGGAAATTAGCTTCACCCTGATGATCCCTGCAATCAAGTGGCCTTAAAGAAAAGATTATGTTCTTAGTCTTGTCGCGATTTAGGTTTAGGCGACTTGCCGCAAACCAGTCCCCAATGCCATCCAATTGTTCATTCTTCAGGTCTACCAGGGTTGCATAATCCTTAGATCTTAGAAGGAAACTAGTGTCATCAGCATATACAGTCATCTCAGGGTGTTGCACTGCATATTTAACGTCATTAATGTAAATCAGGAATAGTAGAGCCCTGGGGAACACCAAACCTCATCACACGTTCCTCGACATACGTTACCGTAAAATGGGGTGAATAGAAACATAGTGGTGAATAGAAACAAAATTTCTGAAAAAAATCAAATCACAATTAAAAATATTCAAAGTAAAAAAAAGTCGACATATCTAATTTTTCTATCATTGGTAATACACAATAAAATGTAAAAACTATATTTTTATCTGTGGCAGCACTGTTTCTGTCAATCAGCTGATCAATAAATGTGAGATCGATTTATCACCTATTTTGTATGGCGCGAAAACTTTATAAATAACATATTTATTTTTAAAGTAATACATAAGCCGGTACATATAAATTGTTATATTATATGTATTGTTAATTATTGTTAAACCTACTTAAATATGTAATAATTTACTGTTTCTAATCACCTTGTTGGAAATAGAATAGATAAAAACATTAACATCAATGTGTGTTTCTATTCTCCCGAATAGCAGGTGAATAGAAACACAAATGTTATTTTTATTTAATATTTATATGCATATTTTTCAAAAATCAAATTATATGTATACGCAAAGAACAAACCAAGACCCATGTTTTAAAATATTCGGGAAAATAATACCACATTTCTATCAACCGGTATATCGCTAATAGCTTACGAAACTGTTTCTATTCACCCCATTTTACGGTACCTGTCGTCTTTCTGTCAGGTAACTTCCAATTAATTGACAACCATCTGAGTCAACACCATAGTAGTGCAGTTTCCGGACAAGTATATCATGAGAGACACAATCGAAGGCCCTAGAAAGATCGCAGAAAGTGGCGCTCACAAACTCCCTCCTCAAACCCTCGCAGAATGCCGCACTGTTCCCCTCGCACAATCTACCCAGAGCCATCACTGTTGATTTCTTCTTTCTAAAACCGAATTGCTCTGAGATGAATATGTTATTCGATTCAAAATAGTCACACAGTTGGTCTGTTAATAATACTTCAAACACCTTAGACAGAACTGGTATCAAAGAGATGGGTCTATAGTTGTCTGGTATATCTGAATTTTCTTTCCTGAATATTGGAATAGTCTTACTGATTTTAAATGAGTCTGGATAAGTGGAACTTTCTATTAATTTGTTGAAGAGTCTTGTTAGGGGGCTAATTAGAACATTCTTCAGAGATTTAATGAGCACTGGCGTTAAGTTGTATATATCTCTACTATGTTTGCTTTTTCATTTATCAATTGCGGATCTGACATCATTGTGGCTACACTTTTGAAAAGCAAATTTAAGGTTGGGGTCTCTAAATTGGCGTTGAAGATATATATCAAACGTGAGACCGGCCTTTGGGAGCCCTACGACAAGCTGTTCAGCAATTTCTGCAAAAAAGTTGTTGAAAGTATTAGAATCTAAATTAGTTCTCTCATTGGTATTTTTAAGTTTTCTTTGGGTATTAATTATTTCCCATGCAGCCTTACCCATATTGTCGGCGTTTTTAATATAATTTGAGTTAGCGTTTTTTTTGCTTCGATTATTGCATTTTTATATTGAAGCCGGTATTCTTTGAATTCTTCATGAAGAAGAGGGCAATTTGATTCCTGGCGCATCTCATCCAAAACTGCCAGCTCATCCCTCATAAAACTAATTTCCGTGGGGAACCAGCCTGTATTCTGACTCTTCTGATTCCTCGTTGCTCTAGGTCTTCTTTGTCGTTCGGGAAAAGACATATTGAAATATTTTACTATTTGATTTAAAAGCAGGTTAGATTTCTCATATTTCTTAAATGACATATTATATGTCAACTTTTGACAGATTCGCATATAGTTTATTTGAAATTGTAACACGCGGTTCATAATATACGAGCCTACCTAACCTAACCTAACTACCCAACCCAACCCTTGTTCCATTGGAAAAAATTGAGATATAATTAAAAATTCGATTTGGGCATCTTTTAACTGGCCAGGACAAAATACGAAAAACATTAGAAGATAAAATCTATTTTCCAAGGCTTCTTGATTTTTTTTTCACAATAAGGGGCCGTCCTCTGCCGGAAACACTGCGACCTGTGAGGCATATTGTGTTTGTCCCCTTTCTATATCTGCACCCATTCTCCTATCCCTGTGCCCTGCACTAACTTATGTAGGTCCTTGATAGGATGGGAGCATAGTTCCTCCGGTTCTAGCCTAGCTTTCCCAAATAAAAAGTGTCGCTTGCGATCCAGAGCCTCGCAGTGACATATTATGTGCTCCGCTGTTTCAGGATCTTTATCGCAGAGTCTGCAGCAAAGACTTCCTTGATACAGGTTGAGCTTGTTCAGGTAACACTTGACAGTCATATGTCCTGTCAAGAGGCCTGTTGTAATCCGCAATTTATTCCTGCTAAACATTAGCAGTTCTTTTGCGGTTTTAGAGCTAGGTCCTTGGATAAAAGCCTTGCTGTGCCTGTACATGTCTGTTTCTCCAGTGGACATTCTGCTTTTCCCTGATCCAGAGTTTTAGTGTACTACGGGCCATACATTTGGGTATTCCTAGTACTGACTCTGGACCAAGATAAGATACTGATGATCCTTGCCTAGCTAGCTCATCGGCTTTTTCGTTGCCTTGGATGCCGCTGTGGCCCGGCACCCAGAATAATTTAATTCTGTTCCTTCGAGCCAGAACTTCCAGATCACCTAGGCATTCCCAGACGAGTCTCGTCGATACCTTTGGGCCCATAAGCGCCCCAAGTGCCGCCTGACTGTCTGAGCATATATTGATGAGCTTATCTGAATAAGCTCTTCTATTGTTTTCTCTCGCACATTGTAGAATGGCGAAGATTTCTGTCTGGAATACGGTTGAGTGTTTACCCAAGGAAAAGGATAAACTTACCCTTAGTCTTTCCCCAAATACTCCGGCTCCTGTTCCTTTAGCGGCCTTTGACCCGTCTGTATACCAGGTTAGTCCATCCTGAAGGAATGTTATATCTGTCCACATTCCTCGATCCATTTTGTTCACTTCGAATGGTTTGTGGTAGCGATAAAGGCTTCTTGATTAAAAATTAGTGTCTTTAACATAGCCATGCCATTCTAGATTGAAATTTAAAATATGAGTTTTTAAGCGAAAATGTCAAAGGTTGACATATGATGTCATTCTATTGAGAGTATCATTTTCTATTGAATAAACTAAAAATATACCGAGGGTGCCATTTAAAAATCAAAAATTGTAGCCATTTCCTGTGCAACAGGAAACGACTAAAAACAATTGAATAACGTACCAAATCTCGTTTTTTAATTTGAAAAATTAAAAAAGTTATAGGGGTGAGCACTTTTGAGGCGCACCGGGTATATTTTAACCCTTACGTTTTATTATTTAAAATCAAAACGTTACAATTTATTGTTCAGAAAATAAAAAAATAGGTCTATCAAAGTTTTAGATTTAAAACAATTAAATAAAACCCTGAATCTTCTGCTACAGTTGTGTTCTAATGCTTTATTCTTTTTTTTTCAGTTGAAGGACGATAAACTTTTTATACCATCATTGTTGTAAGAGTTGTATGATTATTTTCTGTATGATGTAATTTTAATTAATGAAATAAGATTTACTTTTAATAAAACACTTTAGAATATACTGTTTACACAGATTGACAAAAAATGTTAATAAATAGTGGAGAACTGAACTGTTTTTTTACTTGAAACTAACAGAATATTATGTTACCATGTGTGCAAATTGAGTGTTAGATTTCGTTTTTTTATTTTAATAATTTGCTTTAAGCTTTAACAGTTATTACCAAAAAATTTGTATTTTTTGCATAAAGTTGTAAGATCAGTATTATTTAGTACACTTACAAACTTTTTATTCTTAATATAGGGTGTCCACGAAATTTCACAAAAACTAAAATATGTTTTTTACATACATCGTTGCACGTTTTGTGACCCTTCTCTTTTTATAGTAGCTCTACTATCGTAGATTTATATTGTATTTGTAATTAAATAAATTTTTTTTACAATTCAGCTTAAAAAGCACATTGTCTTTTAATTTTTTCGTATTCTAATATCACCTATATTTGTGGAGGAAATGTATCTATATCTTCAATAAAATTCGCAATGCTGTAAATATCCAGTGTTGGCACCGCCTCTAAATATAATTTGACATGCTACCTTGACAGATGAGTTAATAATTCTGAACGGTGTATTTTGGTTTTCCTTTTTTGTTTCATCTACTGTGATAATGTTCTGAAGGGTACATGCGTATTTTTTACTAATTAGATTGTTTCGTGGTTCCCACAGCTATACAGGGTCCGGCAATAGTGCGTCGGGCATCTGTAGCTCCTAAAATAAAAAACTTGGGAATTTTCTTTAAGGGCAAACCTAAAGTATGTACTAGGATGTATTTTAGGAAAATATTTTAACTTTTATAGGGTGGCTCAAGAAAGTGTGAGTGGATCGAGATGATTTTTTTTAAATTGAACACCCTGTATATTATTGCATTTTTGGGTTCCTTTCAGATCGCTTTACATAATCCTAAGACATGAGTAAATATATTTCGATAATTTCAGAGATATTAATAAATAAATAAAAATTGTATATTTTTCAGCCTTTCTTAAAAAAATTATTAATAATACAAGAACTGTCTTGAAATCAAAACTATATTAGATATTTACTTTAGATGATCTGTTCTTACTTTGCTATAAATATGGAAATCGTAAATCATACAGTATGTTCAAAATTCTACGCCAAACTGTCTAAAATATAAAATGATTTTTCTTTGTTTTTTTTTAAATGGAACACCCTGTATATTATTTCTTCAATAGATGGAGAATTAAAAAATGAACATTTTTTGCATTTAGAGTATTTCAAAATTTTTAACGGTTTCGCAGATATTCCCGGTTTTGTATTTCATATGGCATTTTCCACAGTTGATTTTTCTCTCGTATTTTACCATTGAAAGCGCCATATGAAATAATACTGCGTGTATCCGGAAAACTATTAAAAATTTTGAAATACTTTTAATACATAAAATGTTCATTTTTTAATTCTCAATGAAATAAAAAAATAATATACAGGGTGTTCCATTTAAAAAAACGAAGAAAAATTATATTATATTTTTGAAAGTTTGGCGTAAAATATTGAACACCCTGTATGATTTACGATTACCATATTTATAGCAAAGTAAGAACAGACCATCTAAAATAAATATCTAATATAGTTTTGATTTCAGAACAGTTCTTGTATTTTTAATATTTTTTTTAAGAAGGGTTGAAACATATATATTTTTGATTTATTTTTTAATATCTCTGAAACTATCGAAATAGATTTACTCATATCTTAGGATTATGTAAAGTGATCTGAAAGGAAGCCAAAAATGCAATAATATACAGGGTGTTCCATTTAAAAAAAATCATCCAGATCCACCCACACTTTTTTGAGCCACCCTATAGAAGTTAAAATATTTTCCGGAAATACATCCTCATACATACTTTAGGTTTGCACTTAAAACAAAAGTCTCAAGTTTTTTATTCTAGAAGCTACAGATGCCCGACGCACTATTGCCGGACCCTGTATTTAGGAATTAAAATTGAGTTCATACTACCGTATGATCGAAAAAAAAACAGCGTCCAGTTGGCTGGGAAATGAACATCGATGACATTTCCCATATAAATTTACATATAAAATGACAGCGATCTTCATTCCATAGCCATCGCTGACGCCGTTTTTTCTCGATCATACGGTATATCTTTTTAAAAATAAATAAATTTATTTGATTTATAAATCTAAAATACTTTTATTCTTTTTTTGGAGGCTGAATATAATATTAACAGTTGCAGTGAAAAGTAGTTGTTTTCTTTATTTTATTCTGGACAATTATTATAAAGTGCGTTTTTGGAAAAAAGAACTGAAAATGTATTGTACCTACTTATTGGTATCAGAGATTTCAAAAAATAATACATAAAAAAATATATCAGCGAAAACTCTTTTTGTGTGTGTTGCTTTTTCATTCATTAATAATTTTGATGTTGGCAAGGTTCTGTATTAATGCATCCTTTGCATTCGGAACAACGCTAACCCACTGTTGTTACAATTCTTTCAGTTTAGTGGTTGGTCTTTGGATATGGTAGATGTTTTCAGCATATTATATGTCTTGTCGTCCCTAGTTCCTACTTGTTTTTAATGGTATTGATATTTGGAGTGCGTACTGGCCAATTAAACCGTCTACCTAAATAATCCCTAAAGTCTAATTCGTACCATCTGCAGTAAATAACTACATATACGGAGTGGTCCGAACTGTATTCCGGAAACTTCGGCAGCATATTCTGCAGATTAAAATAAGTAAAAAAGTTCGTATAAATGTATGTCCTAAAATGCTTAGTTTCGGAGTTGCAGGGTCTAGAAGTTTCATTTTTATTTCGAGATTTTTTCCAAATAATTTAAGAAGTAATGTCAATATTTGGATGAAAATTGGCGTCTGGGAGTTTTTTTCATGTCAATATGACTCCGACTTGTAGAGGGCGCCACCTACATATACTTTAACTGGTTTGAAGAGTAATAACTTTTCGTCCCTACTTGTATAAAACTACTGAGTAAAAAAATAGACATTTACAACCTTTATTACAGAAAAAAGGTCTCTTGGTAAAAATCGCTACGAGTAACGGTTCTGGAGATATTTGAAATTGAAATTATCAATACCTGTCATCATTGACAAATTAAACATGTTGACTAAATAGTTATTAGACTGAAATTTTAAATTTTAAATCTTTGTGCCAAAAGTTCAACAGAAACTGTTTAATCATCAATTTTTCCGCAGAAAAAATTATGATTAATTTAAAAAAATAAAAATTTATTATGTTTCAGTCAAATATCTCTATTCAACGTGTACTTTTTTTGTCAATAATGACATGTATTGACTATTTCCATTTTAAATATCTTGAGAACGGTCGTAGCGATTTTTACCAAGAGACATTTTTACGTAAAAAGTCATGGAAAAGTAAAATTTTTAAGTCAGCGGTTTTATACAGGTATGGACGTATAAATGGATGAAAAGTTATTACTCTTCAAACCAGTTAAAGCATATGTAGGTGGCGCCCTCTACAAGTAGGAGTCATTTTGACATCAAAATCAAATTTCTCGTGTCACAAAACTTCCAGACATCAATTTTCATCCAAATATTGACGTTAGTTTATAAATTATTTAAAAAAAATCGAAATAAAAATGTAACTTCTACACCCTGTATCTCCGAAACTTAGTATATTAGGACATACGTTTATACGAACTTTTTTACTTATTTTTATCTGCAGAATATGCTGCCGAAGTTTCCGGAATACAGTTCGGACCACCCTGTACATAAAACCTAGCCTTAACACATTAAATTATAATTCTCATTTTGGGCATCACTGAACTATGTTCTTTTGCAGTTTTGCATTGTGTTCTATCATGTGTTTTCATACTAATGAGATATAAATTGAGACTTTATGGTTCATACGATAAGGTTAAAAAAGGAATTTATAAATTAGGAGGAAAGTGTGGCACTCAATGCAAACTTCGTTTAAAATAGGATTGTTTGGTCGTTTTGGGAAGTACCGACGAATCCAACTTACAAATTTGTTATTGTTATGTAAAATTGTAGGAGAATCCAACATTCTTCGTACCATTGTAGTACAATTGGACAATGGATGTTACAGAACAGAATCAGAAGCAAATGAGGCAGCGTCTAAACGAACCTCTAACTTGGTCAATGTTCGCCATGCTTGCAGTTTTATATTTGAATGGTATAAGCCCTTTCTTATACCAACTATAATAAAAAATAAATATAAATCTTACAACCATACTGGATCAGAAAGCGGCCTAATATCTTGATTTTTTTTCTGTTAAAAGCGGACGTACTTTTTTTAAATTCTAGAATTGTTTAAGAATCTTGTTCCAAGAAGCTCCATCTGTTTCTACTGAGATCAATTTTGATGTAACATGTCGTGAACTTTTGCACAAACACACAACCAAACACACATTTTTTTTCACAACCAAACACAATCTTGTCCTGTCACTGTCGCATCTAGAGAGTCTGGGATGGGGTAGTGGCAGAATTTAAGTAAAGTACTGGGCTTAAGTGAAATTTTCGTTGCAAGGTATTGTGACTGCGGAAAAAATCAAACTTGAGTTGGTTTGGATTTTCTATTCCCATTGTTATTTATTGCTTTTAATGGTATTTATGTTTGGATTGCACACTGTTTGGATTGCACTGTAAATAACTGGACATATATAAAGTCTAATTTGTTATTGTTATTTAAAATTGTAGGAGCGGCGTATACGCCAGTTGTATCCCACATTCTTCGTATCATTATAGTACAATTACACAATCCATGTTGCAAAACAGAATCAGAAGCCAATGAGGTAACGTCTAAACGAACCTTTAACTTGGTTAATGTTCGCAATGATCTGATGTCATGCAGTTTTTTATTTGAACGTTATAAGCTCTTTGTTATACCAACTATAATAAAAAATAAATATAAATCCTACAACCATACTGGATCAGAAAGCGACATAATCTCTTGATTTTTTTTGTACTAAAAGCGGGCATACTTTTTTTAAATTCCAGAATTGCTTAAGAATCTTGTTCCAAGAAGAAGCTCCATCTGTAAGTATTGTGACTGCGGAAAAAATAAATTTGAATTGGTCTGGATTTTCT